TCATTATATATATATATATATATATATATATATATCGGGATAACTAGATACATAGAAATGAAAAAGGGTGGAATACCTCATGCAATGTACCGATATTTAGCCTGCGGTGTCATACAAGATTTGATTTTTTCGATACATAAAGGATACGTTCACTGCGTTATAAATAAACAGTTTATAATTATAAACATTGGAAACAACTAACGGGATTGGCTTACTTTTCATCGAACCGGGTTATTTTATCACAAAACTGTCAACTGATTATTATACTACTTACTTGTATCTACTACTGTTTACCCTGCTGTGTCGCAGTTTCTGAATTTTAACCACTTTTTCGAATTCCCGAGGGGTGCGACATAGCAGGAGATTGCCTATTGTTGTGCAGTATATTTATCGTGCACATAAACAGGCGGCTGGTGAATTGGCACGGCGTACAGAAATAACCGAAGCAAAGGATTTATTATTTAACAACAAAAGATACGAACAGATTGTCGAACTGAGTGACCACTGATTACAATCCCTTGGTGAAACCGCTAGTCATCAAATTTGACGTCCATATATGACCGATAAGGCCCATTACGTGAAGCTATAAAATAATTCGCTATATAGAACTAAATATAGTTGATGGAACGCGTCGGTATTATATTGGCCTCGGCAATGTTTTATTATTTGAGCACAAAGAGGAGTGGTGCTGACACCCACACTTCCATCCCAAAGTCTTGGTTTGAACACGCTACACTGACAGTGAAACAATGCACCGGTTTAACTCTTTGGTATCATTGCAAAAATACCCTCGAACGAATGCCCCACTAAGGTACTACAACAGATGGATGGTTACTTCTGCATCACTCATGGAAATAGATACGAATGAAGATAGGGAAGAAATGTCGGTCACTTTGATCTTATTTTGCTCCAAATCCAGAGTAAATAATTTATAAATCTGAACATTTGAGACCGGGGAATTTCGTATTCGATGATGATAAAAGTTGTCTGGGTGTTGAACCCATCTTGTCATGAAGTGATTCATTGATTATTCCTGGTGAACATCCTTTACATGCACACACTCTCCACACCACTGTGACATTGTTCATCTTCCTATATCAACCGTGTGTTGCAGTTTTCATCCTCCCATCGATCCGTGCCTATGACTTTCCCTACACGCCATTTGCACATATGCACACACTATTAGCATGTTTGTTTCATTACGTGGCCCGCTTTGTTGTTCTCCGTGCCCGTGACTGATCGACCCAGACATCTGTAAACACAATAGCCCACCCACGCACAGGCTTGCCATACTACCGTTTCAAGGCATTCCCTCGTGAATCACGCTCACATCCATCGCATTTCGATTGGTTCCTCCGAGGTCACTTCCCAGCGTTGACTACTGCAAATGCATGTGTTCCTACCTGACCTCGTTTGGTTTATTCGTTCCGTTGTAACCACGCTGCGTGCCTGCTTGTTAGCAGTTCTTACGCGTTAAACTACTAGCTTCGCAGATCCCTGGTGTTTGCTTCACCGGATAGTATCGCCGTTTAAAGTTGACATATTTTTCACCATAACTGTAAAGTGTATTTTAGTACCGTTCTGCTCTTTATTCACTGGCAGACATGAAACATTAATCAGAACCGGCGCAAAAACGTGCATCACGAATGGTTGTAAAAACTGAACTGGGCTAATTTGTTTAAAAAAAATCCGTTTAGATGATGAATTCATCGTGTAAATGAAACGTTCAATGAAAAGCTAGGAATCACCGTAAAATTGTTTCTATCTCTATGGGTCTCATCAGCAATGCTACTCTGGACCTCACAGGTAGAACCGTTTGTTGATAGACTCCGTCTACTGGGTTTAAGCACGTCACTCTATGTGGATTGTTGTAGTCTGTGAAGTCAACACTGGGTTTCTGGATTGTCCATGTTCATAGTATCGTCTGAATTAAAGAATAGCAACAGCACACCGAGCAGAATGATCGCTCTTCAAGCTCCCAACGCCATCCATGGCAACCTTTAAGACCGAAACCGTCCCGCTTTATTCCGAGTGAACAGAGCTGCGGACGACTCCAGGAGAACTGAGGAAATATTTCAGCCTCCGATTTCACATCATTCATGTTGTGGCGGGCGGTCGACTGAAAAGTTCACCGCGCATCACAGCCTGCCACCACATGCGCGCATGTCATGCTGACTCCATTACAAGGTCGATCCGCCTCAACGAATCAAATACCAGTATTGACCTGCCGCGTGGTTGGTTCGTTGACCGCCCAGCATGAAGACATTTTGCTTTTGGTAACGCCTGCACCAGTTGGCCTGCCTGCTTGCGCATTGATGCACTGCTTGCTCACCGCCGTACGGAACGGCTACGTTTAGATTGGCATACCGGAAATAGAATAGCTGTTTCATTCCACGGGACACGAATATTCAGAATAGTAATCGGATTCGAATAGCGCGAAGTTGGATTCGGACTGAAAACACACAGAACAGCACAAAGTCAGGTGGAATCAAGACGAGCTGTGGATACAGTTAATTCTATTCCGGAAATCATGCGAATAAATGTCACAAGAGTCGAACAATCACTGGTCCA